GCAGCCTAAATAAATATATTGCAGCCCAATAATGTAAAGCCTAAATGTAACTGAAACCAAAATCAAAGAAATCTACCGTACGTAATGAATCAAAACGCAGAGCATCAATAAGAGGACAGATGTCGATTTCTCATGCTTCTAAAATAGTGATGACGTGGAAGCCTAGGTGAAGAGAAGCTGCTCCTTTATATATATAGATATAGTGCTTGAACCGGGTTTATACTTTGGTGTTGGTTTCAGTTTCCACCTTACCAGGGGCGAGGAGGGTATTTGGTTACATGTATAAATTGTGATGAGATCTTAAGACTAGCTACTTTTCTCTGAGTTTATTAGAAGTTCTTGTTACATAACTAACCTTTTCTAAAGGGTTAATTGGTGAGATAGCCAATTTTAGAGAGATAATTAAGAATATAGCATATGATTTGACATTATTTGATCCCATAGCATTTTGTTCTTATTTTTTCCGGTTCTCTCCCTTCTCTAAGCCAGTTGCCTGTAACAAAAGTATATGTCATTTAAAAAAAAGTTATAAGACTAGTGGTGGTTATAGTATCCACGTTGACTATGGTGATAATAGATAAATAGAATAGAACATGTTAAATGGTATAGTTTATATTAAGTAAATTATAAAATAAATATAATAATATTCTATATTTATCCAAAATTAATAAAATCAAACGCAATATCCAGATTTTCTAAAAACTAACCCTAAACAATAATCACTAAACCCTAAAAGAAAATGTAAATCCTAATCCAAATATCAAAATATGCACATAGTACATAGTATTAAGTATTATCAAAAGAGAATAGTAACAAATGAAATAGCATAGTACATAATGGATAAATTTTAAAATAATTATGATTACAGAGAATGAAGTAGTCTTACCCCAAAATCAACCTAAATCTTCTACCAACTAAACCGAAACACTAGTTAATAAACCCTAAGAGAAAATATAAACTCTAATCCAAATATAAAAAATGCGCATAATACATCATATGAATCATTATCAAAATAGAATAGTAACAAACAAAATAACATAGCATATATTAATGTTCAAATTTTGAAATTATCTTTATTGCAAGGAAGGAGGTAATTTTTATCCTAAATTCAATCCATATCTTCTATAAATTAAATCCAAAACACTAATCACTAAACCCTAAAAGGAAAATATAAACCCTAACTCAAATATTAAAATAAGCACATAATACATATTAAGAAGTATTATTGAATAGAATAGTAACAAACAAAATAATATAATACATACTAATGTTCAAATTTTAAAATGTCGATTGTAGGGAAGAAGATAATGTTTACCCAAAAGTCAATCCAAACATTCCATAAATTAAACCTAAAATACTAGGACATTAAACCCTAAAAGGAAATATAAACCATAGTCTAATATAAAATATGCATATAATACATAATATGAAGCATTATGAAAATAGAATAGTAAAAAAATGAAATAACATAGTACATATTGTTCAAATAACATAGTACAATCGAGAACTTATAGAAAAATGAGGACGATACCGTAACGTTATCTTATCTGTAAATTTTCAACAGATGGTGGTGACTAATAACAAAGAGATGGTAGTTAACAAAATGAAATTGGTTAATAAATAAAAGCAATGGTGATAATTGGTATGATAGATAGAGATCCAAATGACTAATTTTTTTTTACAAACAATGGTAGTGAATTGGAAGAAGTGATGGTGGTAGGTAAGTGAAGAAGAAGAAGTCGTAGGTAGATGAGGAATAACAAGTTTGTGCACGTATTAACCGGGAAGGAGGGGTAATATAGTATATATTATAATAATAGTTGAGTGTATTTTTTTTTAGCTAGATACCTAATTACATGTTGTTTTATGGCTACTGAGGCCAATTCCCCCTTTTCTTCTAAACGCCTACTTGTCAATGAGATAGCAACAGAGCCGGGCCTTAAGGGGAGTGCTATGAAATATTTGAATGGCCCCCTAGTTTGTAGGGCCCTACATTTAAAAAAAAATATTTTTGTTATATACAAATATTGCATATAAGATATTTTTTGTTATTATAACGTAGAAAAATAAAATTAATAGTACAATTATAAAGTGAAGGTATATTTATGTTATTAAACTTACAACTTTAACTTTTCTATAAAGAAAACAGATTTTTTAAACTATTTGTTTTACAAAATTAATAAAAATATATAAAAAATAAATACAAATTAATATTTTTTGAATTTTGAATAGGATCCCAAAATTTCTAGGACCGGCGCAAAGACTATTCACATTTTTCTTGAGTTTAAAAGATTGCTCTAAAAGGTGAAAGATCATTCATACGAGTGGTAAGTACCATTCTTCCTAGCTTCAGGACCTTCACTTGTCATCATCAATAATCTCCCAACCTTAAATTATGCACAAAGACAAACAAAACTCTTAATACATCGCATCTGTGTGAGGATCAGGAAAATGGCAAGAACATCATCAACCTAGAAACAAGTGATCATATATACAAAGAAGACTAACAGTGTCATGTACATGTGTATACCAAGAACATCACCAATCAGAGTATTGGGTGAACAACTAAACACAGAACAGAAAGAAACCTACATTGGTTCTATAGAACTTATATCTAACACTAACCGTGGATGATGATGACCCAAGGATGTCTAGTTCAGAGAGAAGGAAGTCTTCTTGAGTGTGACTGCAACGCCTAATGAACAGGATGAAGAGACAAAATGTGAAAGTTTTTGGCAGCCAGGTCCTTGTATTTATCAATGGCCTCATGTAACTCATATGCTCGTTTCATACTCATACAGCATACATATAGTATGCACTAAAACGTTGGTTTGATTAAGAAAATAATTATTCAACGAAATTTTACTATAAAATGGGAAGTAGATAAAATGTTTCAAGCACAAAAAAAAATAGATAAAATGATATTTTTGTTTGCACAAAAGAGAAATATATTATTTTTTATTTCTATAGATATATTAAATAATAAATTTTGAATGTGTATTGTTGCGGAACTACCGGTAAATTTATAACAAATCATGATTATCTAGAAAACAGTCGTCATTAAAATTGTGTAGATAAATACGAAGTGAGACGTTAAAACCCCTATAAGACCTGGGCTAATTTCGAGAAACTTAAAGCATTTCGCTTCTTCGGCTTCTTCACCAGTGGCTACCACCAAAGATGGCAGATGGGTTTGGCTACGTCGGTTTCTCTGGAAAACCGTACCCGTTCTGGCTTTCTCCTCGGTATCTTCACCCACCAGCTTTTCCCCCGCCGTTTCTCGCAACCCATCCTGTTGAGTCCTCCTCCTACGATCAAGCCCAAGCAGGTTTTGATCCGATGATTCCTCATGGCTCTTATGATTATAATTTCCCTCCTCTGACGACGCCTTCTTCCTTTTACACTCAACCAGGTACTTATTTAATATATATTTTAATCAAACTAATTTAGGGGTTTAACTCTTTGTTTTGATATGAAAATGATAATGTTTATCTTAGCTTGTGATATGATAATGATCACATTCTTGAAACATATTGGTTTTTAGTTCTTTGTTTGAATTTTATATGGTAGAACTTGGTGTGTGTGTTCTTGCAGATAATTTCAGTCTCAGGAGTGAAGATTTTCCCCCTCTAACGCCGCCTTCTTCATCGTTTTACGCTCAACCCGGTATATATATATATATATATATATTTTTTTTTTTAATCAACCAATTTGTTAGAAAAAGAAATAAATTAATCAACCAAATTTTTGGGGTTTAACATTGTGATGGTTTCCAACAGTGGTTTTCCAGGATAGAGATTAGTTTAGTTTGATTTGATGATGATCTTGTATTGCATCATTAGTAGTTCTTTATTTTAAAGGTAGAACTTGGGGTTTGTGTTCTTGCAGGTAATTTCGGTGAAGATTCTTGCAAACACATGGGTGGATATTATTACCCTTCTTCTTCTGATGCTGTCTATTACCCTCCTATGGCGAGGCAACGCTTAGTCTGGGCGCCTTATAGCTCAGCCACAGTATCTTCTTTAGCTGACATGCTTATCAGAAGCTCTCAGGAGCCTTTCTTTGTGCCTGTTCCTCCTTCTGGTGTTTGTGCTTCTAGCCATGCTTTTGATCTGAACCGTCCCGGACATTACTATTCTGGCTACGCTCCTCCTCCTGTGCAGCCTTATTTACCTGTTCCGTCTATGCCTATGCCAAGTTTTAATACAGAAGCTTCCTCTGATGGCTCAACAGGTTCAAGGAGTCCCTGGTCCTCTCAACCGCTTAATGCTCAGTCCTCGGGTTCACTGTTTACGGAAAAAGGAGAAGCTAGTGGTGTCTCCTCCCTATATCAGAAGCCAAATACGTTGGTTGCTGGCAGTGAGAATGGGAGCTCCTTGAAGAACGCAATTGGCGATTTGAATTGTGATGAGGAGCATGAATCCTGCAACTACTTCAGGGCGAGACCTTCAGCTCCTACTATGTTTTCTACGGGAAGTGAGTCATTAGGTGCAGTGAAAGGGAATGCTTCTCAATCAGGTGTCAACTATACAACCCCTCCCGGAGGTAGTGCTAATCAACCTAGTGAAGATGTTCAAGGCAGTCAAAAGACATTTAAGCTCCAGGAACAATTGGTTGATTCAATGAACAGAGTTAAGAAAACCATGTTGTCGACAGATCTGAGTGTCAAAGGGAGTAGTTTATCGAATGCAGAAACTGGTCAATCACCTGTATGTGATCGAGGAAATTCCCCATCCCCGGCTTGTTCTCCAAGAGTTTCTTCCGTGGTTAATGCCATGCATATTCTGTCGCAAGTGCTTGTTAATGAATGCATTAACAATGGAAGCTTTCTAAAGCCAGAACAATTTGAGAAACTTGATAAAATAGTAGAGAAACTCGCCAAATGCTTAAAGAAAATCACCTGTAACAAGACGAAAGCAGGTGACGCATCAGATTCAACTCAGGCTATGCATGTTTCTTGTCCAAACGTGGTCGATCTTAATGAGGTATGTCATGTAGGCTATGTAGCTCAACCATGAGATTTGTTATATCGTACGTAGAAGTTAAAACATACACTTTACTTGTTCTTGTTTGCTTAACGATACCCTTTTCAGGCCCCAATTGTTGTTGCTAAAGACTCTCAAGGGGGTAATGTCCAGCCACTGGACAGCTTTGGCTTCAAAGAGTCGGTGGATAAGAGTAAGATGACACAGGTATTTATTTACATATAGATATATTCTTTATGCATATTTGTAAACGGCTAATGTAATATTAACTTTGCAGAGTATTAAAAACATACTTTCTTCTAACTTTCATGATGGTGAAGAAAACCACCCAAAAACTTTCTTGTACAAGAATCTCTGGCTCGAAACTGAAGCTGCCTTATGCTCCTCAACTTGCCTGACTCGCTACCATCGGATCCAGAACGAGACTGGTAATCTCAAATTGCAGGATAAAGGTTTTGGTAACTTTCAAACTAACCGTCTCCTTTTGTCTGACAGTATCAGTAACTACTAGAGCTACATTGCAAGAACATTTTCTCCAAAATCCTTTTCATGTCATAGATGACACAGCTATGTTAAATTTTGTATAAAAGATGATGCACATGAAGCTTAAACACTAAAAAAACTGCTATAGGAATTAGGAGATTAGGATGCTGTTACTCTCAGGTCCTTTTTGAATTTACATGAATCATATGTAGACGACCAGTTTTGTATCTTTTCTAATGGCGCAGCCATTTTTTGTTTAGCAAATTTAAACATTGGCTGACAGGTGTCTTTATAGTATAAGAAACGAACCTTGCACATCATTCTTCAAATTATTTGTTTTAACAGTTTATCTTTTGCTTTTCTCAGAGATCTCTGCAGATGCATCAACCTTGAAACAGCAACTTTTTCTCAACCCCGAGGAATCGAAATCCATCTTGAATGTTGTAGAGCAGGAGACGACTGAATCACTCATCAAAGACGGAGGCAATTGTAGGAACAATGTAGTTACAGTGAGTCATGACGCACCACAAAGCTCTAGATTCAACTCTGGTCCCGTTGAAGCAGTAATATCACTTATGTCCAGGAGCTTTACCCACAGTTCAGAACAGGAAGATCATGTAAACTTCAAGCCTGATGCTCCGACACCGGACACTGTACAGCAGGAATCCCTTGCATCCACCACAGAGGAAAAATATATTAATGTTATAGACAGGTTTCAGATTCTGAAGCATCAAGAAATGAATCGCAAACTCAAGTCTGAGGACTTCTCAGAGACGAGAATAAATGAGCAGGAGGAGAGTTCAGATGCTTCGGAGATGGCTACTATTGGCAGAAGCAGCCATATGAGTGATGTTATGGGTAGCTTTCAGATGCTAAAACGCCGGGAAGTGGAGCAAGTTCAGAAGTCTCTCAACAGCGTGGACTTTGATTCAGATTCTGGTTCAGATTTTGACTCAGATTCTTGTTCATATTTTGATTCAGAGTCGGAAAATGACCAGCCAAGAAACAAAACACAAATGTGTGATTATCTCTGCGCAGGCTCGATGATGGCAACAGGTGGAAACTCAAAGATAGAGACGTGTGCTAACACTGAACCATCTGCAGACGGCGAAGGCTACGAGAGCCCGACCTCGGATTGGGAACATGTCCTCAAGGATGACTGAAACTTCCTTGGACAAGAAGTTTCTATCCCTTAATGGCTTTTGTTAGTGTATAATAAAAATGGCTTTGTGGAACCACCAGTGCCGGCCCTTGGACCAAGTGGGGAGGGGAAGCACATGCTTATCTTTTATGTATTATTTTCGGCACACTTTCTGAAGATTTCTTTTAGTTTAGTAGTATAGGGTTCTTGTCTACATCTACTTGTACATCCGAAGCTCCTCTAACCATTTCAGCTATTTTTATTTTTTTTTCTGTTTATATATTTCAAAAATGCTCATTGTTTTTCTCTTGTTTCCGGCCATCGAATTTCTAGGACCTTCTTTGGAAACAATATTAAATGAAACTGCGTGGTCTGGTTTCTAAATTTTAATTTTTTTTGTTAGCTTTACAAGTAACCGGTTGCTCTATTGTTTTACAAGAGATTGCCGAAGCACCGACCTTATTCACTCTGGTGCTACTAGGGGTGGGCAAAAAACCCGAACCAAACCGAACTGATTCTACCGAATTTGAACCGATCCAAACCGAATCCAAATATATGTCTAAATCATTTGGTTCAAGATTCTATCAACCCGAATGGTTCGGTTTGGTTTGGTTTTAAACCGAAAAACCGAAGTGTTTTTTATTAGATTAATTAAATATAGTAATAATTTTAGAATTAATATATTTAACCATTTAATCTAAATAACTAATAATTTTATACATTTGACTTATAAATGAATAAAATTTACGCAACTAAAAAATATGAATATATACACTAACATCAAAACCAAATACTTTTATGATTTTATATTAAGTATAAAATAATAATATAAAATTGTTTGATTACATCATTTACATATTTATTGTGATGTTTAGTTTTACGTTTAAATATAGAGAATATAATGATTTAGTGTCAAATGATGATTTATTATTTTTTATTATAAATTACACTTTTGTAATTGAACTAGAATAAAACTAAAAACATCAACTTGGCTGAATTGAAAATATAAACAAAACCATATTAAACCGAATCAAACAAAAACCAAACCGAACTACAACCAAACCGAACACAAACCAAACCAAACCAAACTAAAACTGAACATAAACCAAACCAAACTATTATGGAATAACTTTGGTTAAAGTTTTCTTATACCCAAATAATCCAAACCGAACCGAATCCAAACCGAACCCATACTAAAACCGAAATGCCCAGCCCTAGGTGCTACAGAAACATGCGCAACTTTCACATTGAAAGGCCATGTAACTCTGTTCCTAATTTACATAGTTATTGCTTAATCATATCATGACTGCTTATTATTTCTTTTTTGGTGGTTTTTTTTTTCTTAATCATTATCTGCTTTATAAATGTCTTATTTCTCAGTGGCGAATGTTATTATTTCTCGATGCAACAATTTAACAATGGAAAAAATGTCATTTAAATCACCAATTTTCAAATTTAGTTGAAATAAAGCACTAACTTTTTTCTAAGTAAAAAAAATATTCAACTTTTCTTAATAAGTCATTCCTTCGTCGACCATACCATTTTAGTCATATCTTTAATCAATAGTTATAGTTGACTAACGGTATGCCTAAAATGACTTTTAAAGTTGATAATTTATTTGGCACAAATATAAATCAACATTTTTCAAAAGATGTTTGTTTTTCACTATTCTAATCGTTGATTCTTCAGTGAAAGGTCTTCGTTTCCTTGACTCACACCGCTTTTAGAATCTGCTGATATGTTGCAGAAGCTTACTTTGGATTCACAACCGAAAGGTTCGGAGATTTCTGAGGCGAAAAAGTCTGAATCAGCTTTGTTTTTGTTCTTAAATTACACTCAGTTCTTTTTTTTTTAATTAAGCAGTTGTTGGGGGTGGATTTACACCATCCTCAAGGCCCATTAGACAATGAATTAGGCCCATTTAGATGGGAAACCCTAAACCTCATTCTCCTATAAATAAAGAGGCAATCCTCTTTGTTTAGGGGATCTTCTCTACTCTTTTAGATCAAGAACACTTCCTATAAGGATTTTATAGATTCTTAGATTCACTTTACTATTCAAATCATTTGTAATGCAATCCTTGAATCAATAAAATCTTGGATGTTCTTTCTATTTTTCATTTGATTTCTTTGATTATATCTTCTAAGCCTCAAAGATCTAATATTTATATCATTAGATCTTTTATTGTTATGATTCAAATAAACACCAGCAAAAACACCATTTTTGGGTCAAACAGTTGGCGCTAGAAGGAGGGGGTCAAGGAGAATAATCTTCAAAGAAATCAAACCGATCTGAAAAAAAAAAAAAAAAAAGGAGCTTTCTCCCCTACACGAGTTCATCATCATCTCCTCATGAAACTCGGTTCTTTCTTTTCCATTGCTCGAAACAGATCAGAAGCTTGCAGAGCTTTATCATTCTCAGTTTCCGAGGTTAGTCCGAAGATGAGGCCTCCACCGAAGGCGACGAGCAGAGTCAATTACGGTGATGAACTTCGACGCGAGCTTGATTCCGGAGGTGAAGAACTCACTGGAGCAGGACACAGAGCTCCAAGACACGGTTGTTCTCATGCTCAGCTCTTTCTCTGCGACATCCAGTGAGCTACTTCGTCAACCCAGTCCATCTCTTCTCTCCAAGACACGGTTGATCCCACTCGTCAAAGCTCGAGACTTGATCTCGTCAAAGCTGAAGACTCATCTCCGCAAAGCTCAAGTCTTTATCTCAGTATCTCGCCATCTGGTCGCAGAAAGAGAAGAGCTTTTCGGGAGAAGAGTGATTTGAAGATCTTGGTTTCGTCACTCAAGCTCTCGAGACAAGCTCGCCGTAACCGGCACAAGCTTCTCGTTAACGAAGACCATTTCGTCAGCCACCAGCTTGGGATATCATTATCAAACGATTCGATCTTGGCAATCTATTAGTTTCCTTCTCATTGTGGGAGTGGTTCTCGGCAAGGCTTAAGATTTGAGCTACGCGTCGAAGGCTATTGGCTGACAAGTTCCAAGGTAGCGGTTGAGTTGCAAGAAGCTGCGAGTTTGATCCCTCTTGGAACCACTTCCACGGAACCATCCTCAAGTGCTCAGAAACCATCTTCGATCTCTTGTTCTTGAGATGGCGAGCTCGTACCCTACCTCCACCATTTTCTCCACAAAGAGAACAGCTTCTGCATGTTTCAAAGAAGAGACAGAGCGAGACAGGGTTGAGAGGAGCTGATGAACACAGCGAACGGGTATGAAGCTTTCTCGTGAAGCATTGTTGTTGATGGTACCAAAGATCCTCCAAAGCTCGAAACTTTCTTGGAAGCCTCTCAGATTAGTTGGTCAAACATGCCGCTTCTTTCAAACCGGCAAAACAAAGCCCGGAGCTTCACGAACTCGGCGATATGACTCAACCTCGGCGACTTCCTAGCTGTGTCGATGTGTTTCAGATCCATTGCGATTCATCAAGAGGAGAAATCATGAATTTGTACTAGCCGATCTCTACCCCACGTTGCCTATAATCACTAGGCGATTTGAGCTCAAAGACGACAGATCTCGTAATTACCCCATCACTAGCTCACCATCTCCCCAAGCTGAAGACTTTGATCTCAGAAATAAAGGCTATCTCGACACAAGCTTGCCATCTCTCCATAGCTTGTCATCTCGTCCTTTGCTTGTAAGGACACGAGACGGAATGAGAGGAGAAACAAGGAGGGACCTTGAACTGAACTCATGGTATGTCTCGTCGATAATCACCGTTCTGGAACGTTCTCGGCAAAGGCGTTAAGCTTGGATCGGTCTCCTCTTGTGGAATCACCATAACGAGATTGGACAGAGATGACACATGAACATGACTGTCTTTGGATCCTGATAGATCGTGGCAAAGATCAAGACTTCTCGGCAAAAGTGGTGAGACATGGTGATTCTACTTGGCAAACATGTAATATGATCTCGGCAAATATGCCATGATCCGGCACGTTGAGATGAAGGGAAGCCTTTGGATGGATTCAAGACACATTGATCTCGGCGTAATTTTGCCACAAGTAGTTTTAGGATCAGTGATGAAGTGCTGCAACATTCATCAAAGCTCTTACTTCCACGTTCAAGAAAACTCTCCCAACGAGCTTGATCTCGGAAAAGCTAAGAGTTAAAAGATTTGGGATCGTCTACATCATACCAACCTCGAGAGTTCATTTGATCGCGGCAGTTTCACATGCTTTGATCTCAGCAAGTACTTAATCTTGGCAAGAGCAAGGAGCAGCTAGCGTGATCTCGACGGAACGCCGATGATTAGTTGACGACGTGTTCATCATCCTCGTCATTGTTGTGATGACAAAAAGTAAACGTGACAAGATAAGTCTTCTAATCTTAATTAGCTAATTATTTCTACCAGATACACCACTTTATACTTTGCGGTGGCACAAAAGTCTATTACGTACCTGTTGCATCATAGCTTTGGTTTAAATAATTAAACAACTCTAATTTGTTTATTGGATAATGTTATTGCTTTGCTGTTGGTTCCCTATGATATTAATAAGTTTACAACTATAATATCATCATGTCCAACTCACGAGTACTAAATAGAAACAAGTTCCATCGCTTTCTGATTGATTATGCAATACTTGGCTATTCTTTTGGTCAACTTTGATCTGATCATGCTTTTTTTGGTTGTGAGCCAGTGATCATTGAGCCAAAGAGAAAGAGAGAATCAACAAAAGCTCGCCATCACCATGTCCTCGAATGGCGATCTCTCAGCCGCAAGCTTGTCGGAAGTGGTACAAGCGGCACAGACCAGCACATTTCTCGCACAAGCCATCGCGTTTCTCGACATCATCATAGCCTGTGACGAACATACAAACCAGCAACTTGCTTGACATACAACGATCTCGACACGAGACTTCGGGTCAGCAATAGTTCGGTAACCTTGTATATTAGGCACGAATTTACTTTGAACTTGCTTTTTATTAGGCACGAGTTTGCGAGTGACTCGCTTATTGTTAGACACGAGTTTACAAAGACTCGTCTTTGGCTAGGCATGAGTTTACAGAAACTCCCCTTCTACTAGGCGCGGGTTCTCAGTAAACTCGCCTTTGTCTCAGCATGAGTTTAGTAAACTCGTCTTTCACTAAGCACGAGTTCAAAGCAAACTCGCCCTTTACTAGGCACAAGTTCAAAGTAAATTCGCCTAAATCGTCACAGGTATGAATGTGCCTAGTGCATTGTCTAATAAACCCTATTCGTAAAATTCACAGAGATCGACTTCGTCTCTCTCTACGAACTTGGGGGGACTTACTGTTGGGGGTGGATTTACACCATCCTCAAGGCCCATTAGACAATGAATTAGGCCCATTTAGATGGGAAACCCTAAACCTCATTCTCCTATAAATAAAGAGGCAATCCT